CATTTCATTTTCTCAGTGACCACACTATTAGGTGGTACACACTTCATTGATACTGAACATCCTCTTGTGTTTAGATAAGTTGTAGCCAAGTATATCTTCTCTGCTATGTCGTTTCTACTACACATCTTGGTATTTTTAAATCCATCAAAGTAGATATGATATTGTTGTAGGTATAACGCAGCGCTCTCTTCAATATACATCAAATGCATTAGATATTTAGAGAAACAGGCCGACAGTTTTTTCTTTCTGAAATCCTGATTTGGCTTCTTGTAATTTAATAATCTGATTGAATAAACTTTGTGTATTATATATATATATATTGTGTGTATCTTATTTATCTTTCTTATAAAAATTCCACTGTGTGGAGGGAGAAAAGGAGTGGGGTGGGGGGGGGGGCACATGTTTCAGCGACTCAGTTATTATTTCACGGTGCTTAACGGCAGCAGTAAAAATTGATGATGATGATTTTAACGTTGCTACACTGATGATAATAATCTTAACGTTGCTACACGGATGATGATGATCTCAACGTTGCTACCCATCGACACAGCGCTCCGATGGATCGAAAATTATTCCTTCCCACGTCACTTCAGCGCTCCGATGGATCGAAAATTAATCCTCCCCACGTCACTTCAGCCGATCGAAAACTATTTCTCCCCACGGCGCTTAACTTTAAACATTGCGCAGAAGTGAAAACTGATGATGATGGCTTCAATTATTATTTCACGGCGCTTAACAGCAGAAGTGAAGACTGATGATGATGATCTTAACGTTGCTACCCATCGACACAGCGCTCCGATGGATCGAAAATTATTCCTCCCCACGTCACTTCAGCCGATCGAAAACTATTTCTCCCCACGGCGCTTAACTTTAAACATTGCGCAGAAGTGAAAACTGATGATGATGGCTTAAATTATTATTTCACGGCGCTTAACGGCAGAAGTGAAGACTGATGATGATGATCTTAACGTTGCTACCCATCGACACAGCGCTCTGATGGATCGAAAATTATTCCTCCCCACGTCACTTAAGTCGATCGAAAACTATTTCTCACAACGCTTAACGCGCAGATGTGGAAACTGATGATGATGGCTTCAATTATTTCACGGCATTATTGGTACGTATTGTTCCATTATTTTGTTGTTCCATATTTTGTATAACCTCTTTATAACCCCTTGACCTCTTTGTAACCTCTTGAACCCCTTGAGGCTCTAAAAGGAATGTTTTGGACAGTAAATAATACATTACTGCTTTTCGTCCTTCTTAGGACGTTATTTTTTGTTATTTGAAGCCCCACTCTGGCTTTTGCCAGGGGCCGCAATATAGGCAGGTCATCATTATGGCCAAATGTCTGAACGCGGTTTCTGGGACCTCTCCACGGTGATCCTCATCCGCATGGTGGCACTTTGTGTCATCGGGTGTTTATCGCTTGTGTGATGTCCTAGTGGGGTAGAAAGTCAGTCAGTCAGTCAGTAAATAATATGGGGCCGGTATTCGGAAGAGTGCCCGTTCTGTGATTGTAACAGACTCGATGAGCATGTTTCTGAACATTGAAACTGGTATCCTGCGGTCAGAGTGCCTGGCATCACTCGATACGACCCAGATCAAGAGGATGTCGTGTATTTTCTGTCCAGGACATTCGGTTTTGTGAGGTAATTAGCAGGCTGCTGCCACTCCTCTGTGTGGTGAGCTACTATATGATATGGCAGGTATAGTGAAGGTGCAACTGGACCAATTAAACAGTTAAAAAAAACCGGTAAGAGAATCAATAGACCGAAAGACTAATTCAACGGGGGTGAGTAGAGGTTGTGGAAGACATTAACACTGAAGGGGAAACAGAGGCGAATGTTTAATCAGGTCGCAGCTGGTACCCTTAGCATGTCACCTCTTCGTTGTTTTCTGAAGAGGGGAACAGAGCATGTGGGGAATGTCCCGAGAGCAGTGGTGTCAATTCTTGATTGATTCATTCATTAATTCCTTTCCAGACATATTTAAAGAGAACTCTCATTTGCACAACTTCCATTGCAACTAATGTATCATTAGTTTTTCACTGCTAAACCTGTAAGAAGAATAATGGCACATATTTAAAATTGTGCTTTGACTTCCGGTCGCGGCCCATAGGAACATCAGAGCAATTTCTCCTGGTTGTGCATGTTGGAAACAACGGTAATATACTTTGCTGTTGGAGGGACATTTTGTTTATGAATGTGACATAGTGTATTAACAGTCTTCTGTTTATGTGAAAATATGTCTTTCTTTTTAATATTTTCAAGACAATTTACTTTCCAGCAATGCACCAGGCTAGGTCTCTAACTAACTTGTGCTAAATTATCATATGGCTCTCCTCCGAACTTCGACCCGATATTATGGCAGCCTTAAAATATCCTTACGGGGCTCAGTTCTATTAAAAACATGCCAGTTCCGTATAACGAAACATGCTTTAACAGGGTCTCAGCGATATGTTACTTGCGGACCTGTTTCTGTGACTGTGCCTCACCGCCGGGCGACAGTATCCCCTGCTAGTGCGGCGCCGATGGGGGCTAAACTAGATGGCTGGGACTCACGAGCAGTAGCTACTGCATCTCCAATGACTTCCTCCTATTAATTTGCTCTAATTTATGCATCACATTTGAGGACCAAGTGAACACATTACTTCGAGATAATAAGAAATTAAGGAATGTACTACAGCAGCGGTTGTCAATTTGCTGGTCGCGACCCTTTTTTTGGGTCGAACGACCCTTTTATAGGGATCACCTAAGACCATCTATACTCATTGAAGTTATGAAGGAAAATAATTGTTTGAGGGCCACCACAACATGTGGGAACTGTATTAAAGGGTTGCAACATTAGAAAGGGGAGCCGCCTTAGCGCAGTCGATAAGAAAAAGAAGCTCACTTTCAAATCCAGCTGCGACTCGCTGCAGCCCACGATCGGTGTTCAAAACCGGGCGGCTCCCGGGGTTCACCCAGCCTTTAGGAAATGGGTACCAGAGTGATACTCTGGGGTAAATGGAGGAACGTGGCTGTGGCTACAGAGTTACGTGCGAACGGCGACACAGGCGGACAGTTCTTATCAGCTGTTCTTAATGGTGGCAGAGCACTTATGGTTTATAACCGTGTGCAATGACGCTGGTTCACATCTCCTGATTTTACCTTTTTTTTTAACATTAGAAAGGTTGAGAGCCACAGTTTGGATTATAGAGTAAACAACTTATCAAAGTGTGCAAAGGTTTCTACATAGCAGTCAGTATTCATCTAGAACAAACATAGGAGTGTCAGAGAAGTTCAACATTAGATCTAAAGTGAGACAGGGATGTTCATCACATGTGTCCACCAATTTGCAAATGAGCTAACAGTCTGACATCAGTGAAAGGGCAACATTCAAGACTTTCTTAATGAATTGCTTATTAATGATGATCAGGCAATCATAGCACCAACAACAGTAACAACATATTAATAGACTCCAGTCGGCGTGACACAACAGTGTTATTAAAATCAACATAAGCAAAACTTAAATGAGGACATTCACCAGAAAATAAAGAATTACAAAATTAAAATTGATAAACATCATTTAAAGTAGTGGAAGGACTTTACCGATTTAAGGGAGCATTGTTTCAGAAAATAGAATAAGTAAAGAAATACAACAATATTGTAATAACGGCATGCAAATTATAAGACAAATGACACAATAATGAAATTCAAACTGAATATAAAACCTAAAAGAGCACTGTTGAACACATTATTCTTACCAACCTTATTTATGCACCCGGCTGTCTAGCATAGCTGGTTATACCGGATGGCGTGGTGACCGAGTGACAAACTCCTTGTGGTCGGGTTCACTCCCGGGGGTAGGCAGAAAAGCCACATTTCTCCCAGATTTACGGTATTTATCATGTAATCAAGGCCGAAAGGTTGCGATATCCATAATACAGAGCCTAAGGGGTAACAACTCATGGCTTCTGGTTACTACAACAAACAACCAACCCTATGCTATTAGTGTCAGACATAGACATTGTCTACAGAAGACAGAAAAAAAGTAGTCGCAACAGAAATTTGTGTATTATACTATAAGTAACAAGGAAAGATCAACTTAGGAATGATGACAGAACCAATACTTAACTTTATCAGTAGACAACAGGTAAAATGGTTTGGTCATGTAACAAGACTGGTTACATTTACTTTATTAAAAGGAAAAATACTCATTGTTCTATTGTGCCATTATGTGTGACATAGGGCTCACAGTCGGTTCCTCCTTTCCATTCTAACCCCTGCAAATAATTCAATTTCAAGGATGGAATCCAGTCCAGCAGCTTTGGCTTCTCTCATCAACATTCTCTTGAGAGTTTATTGTGGGCGTCCTCACTTTCTCTCTTTATTTTGTTTTATGTTTTTACCAGTTCCGGACTCCAACTTTCACTGGCTTAAATGGAAACATTAGAATTGAAAATACATAACTGGGTTTTAAAACTATAAAAACTACAATTTAGAATTCTGTATTTCATTTTGAGGCAATTAGAAGCTGTTGATGCCTTGCCACTGTGTAACATAATTTTTGTTCTTTGTATTTCCATGACTATAAAAAATACACTGTATAAATAAGTAAATTGATCAGTTTATTTATCTTCTGTATACTTTTTGCTCTTTATCTTTTAATTCAACTCATCTAGGGGACTCCGTGATGTCATGGGGAATTCTAAAAAAATAAAGTCAAATAGTATAAGGGTGTTAAAGTATGAAACTAATCCTAGCCCCTCCCATCCCCTCTAATCTGTTTATCTTTGTGTGTTAGTGTTCCTCAAGACATATTCATTGCACTTGTTATCTGGTCATGATATTCTCATTATTTGTCTATAAAATCACTGCAGCTTCCACATAGTAACTGTGAAGAGCTCTCTTTCTCTGCTAAATTGACACAAATAGGTTGTAGTTTTATTTATATCTGAAACACTTTTGATACTGTGAAATTATGTGGATTACAATTATTTTCACAGACTAGCAGAGATGTCCTACAAATGGGAAAGTCCAAAGAACATGCCATCCAAGAGGGTGTTTGCCACACCACTGGTGCATGGAGACAATCTGTACATCGTTGGTGGTTGTGATGAGAAAGGAGTACCACTGGACTGCTTTGAAATGTTCGTTATAAAGCAGAAAAAATGGCACCGCCTTCAGAACATGCCTACAAAGAGGGCAGCACCTGCAGTGGCTGGAATCGGCAACAAAATTTTTGCAGTGGGAGGAGTGTCTGAGTCACAGACTCCGCTGGATGTTATAGAAGTGTATGACATTTCAGAGAAGAAGTGGACAACTGTTGATCCCTTGGGAGAGAAACTGCTGGGAATTTCATGTGTCATAAGAGGTACTGACTTGATACACACATTGTTTTACTTGTTAATGTTGTAATTATTATTGCAAGAACATGTTATTCAATAAATCATCTCTTGTTAAAAAAAGAATGCATTTAGATAAAACCATTTTAACATATGAGTAAAAATCCTGGACAGTTAATAAACAAGCCAGGACCTTCTTGAGGCTTGAGAGTTGTGATTTTACAGTTGATCGCTCAGCATTTTGGATGCCTAAAATCTTTTTGTTTTGAAAATGGTGAAGACAACTAATTGGCAACATCAAAAAGGGGCAGTCATGTTGGCCACATTATGGGGGGGGGGGGGGGGCAGGGTTCGTAGCGGACCGGGAAATCAGGAAATTACCGGGATTTTTTTCGTTGACCTTGAACCGGGATTTTTAGCTTATAAAAGACATTCCGACCTTAAAAACCCGTGAATTTTGACCGCGGCAATGAAATCGTCAGAAATCCTGTGTTTTTCAGCACAGGCAATTTTGGGGGAGCCATTTGGCTTTTTTGGCCATTTGGCTAGTTTTTGGCTACTTTCGTTGTATGGTCGTTTCAGGTGTGAGGGCAGCTGATTATTGGCTATTTTCAGCCGAAATGGCTTGTTAAAGGCCAGGGGAGGGCGGGCTTTGTTGCTGATCATGAAAACATTCAGACAGCAACGGTGTGGCATGGGGCGGGAAGTAGCAGCTTCCGTCTCGCGCGCGTGTGTGCCTTTGTTTCTAGCGAGTCCGGCAGAATGAACAGTTTAAATCGTTTATGGCCGTGGTTTCTAGAAAGGATTACATTGGGAGATGGTGGGGCTCGGTGCAGTTGTATTTATAAATAGAGTCGCCGTGGTGGGGGCTAAGCACGGCCTTCTCTATTAATTAGAGATGGCATTGGGGCTAAGCAAAGTGACTGCAGCTGGATTTCCCAGTTCTATTTTTGGCCTGGATTTATCTTTACAGTGTGTTTGGCGATCAGTATTGTAATTCCCCGAGATTCCCTCTTCTGTTGTCTCACCCCTCTCTCTCTCTTCCCTCCCTCTTTCACTCTTCTACCTATTGCTCCTTCCTTCCCGTCTCCTGCATTGTCTCTAACCCTCCCTTCTGATCTTTATCTTCTTCTCTTTCTCTCTATCTTTCCTTTTACTCTCTCATTTCCTGTCCCCCTCCCCCTTTTTCCTATTTTATTTCTTGTTTAAATGTTTAGTAAATGTGCGCTCCATAACTCTTCCTAGCAACTCAAGTACACAGGAAGTTGTATTGGGGGGGGGGGGGCATTCTGTGTGAACATGGTGGATATTTTCTTTTGATGTGTTTGTTTTCCTAGCGGCCTTAATCTCTGTCCATCTCCCTTCCCGCCCCCTCACATTTTTGTCCTACCTGTTCCTCACTCTCTGCCTGTCTGTGTCACTGCTTTCCTCTCTCTCTTTGTATTTGCCGCTCTCCCTCACTCCCTCCCTCTCTTTCTCTCTCTCTCTTTCTTTCTTTCTCCATACCTTCAGTTGGTGTATAAGGTTATGTGTTGCCTAGTGCAGAACATTTCATGTCCATCATTCCCCCCCTCCCACACATTAAATATATGTGTACTTTTAAAAACACATTTGCCGTCACCCCCCCCCCCCCCCCCCCCCCCTTTTCTCCTCCCACATTGATGACACCTAGGGGAGGGAGTGCACCCCTTCCTGCTACCTTCTTCCCTCTATATCTCATCTTATTTCTTACTCCCTTCTTTCTCTCCCTGTCTCATTCCCACTTTATTTTCTTAAACTTTATTCTCTCACCTCCTCTGTCTCACCCTTACCACCTCAGCCTTCTACACCACTTTCCACCACCTCCTCTCTCCCCTCCTTTCTGTAATTGGAAAACCAGAAATAAAATGAAGTCCACTGCTGCCCTGACCTATTTATGTGTCTGACCTATTTATGTGTGTGGGTAAACTTCTCTATTTTCCACCAGTGGTGGGTTGGGATCCCCTGGACTTTTTTTTTTCTTCATAAAATGACCTTGGCTCTCAGGTCACCAGCCTTAAGTGTAAGAAATTGAATTATTGTTGTCACACACAGATAGGACAAGCAAGGGGCAGTAGGGGTTAGCACTGTTGTTTTTGGACCACGGCCACATTCACATTGGGAGAGGGTAGGAACCGGAAAAGTGGCCTCACTTAGAGATTTCCTAATTCTATTTTGGGCACTCATTGTTCTTACACCCCCCACCCCCACAACCGTGTCTTACCTTTCTTCTCTCACCCCTTCTCTTTCCTTTGATCTTCTACTATTCTCCTTTCTCTCTCCATTCTTCCTCTCTTCCTTTCCTTGCCCTTTCTCCTCTCCATCCTGTCTTTTCATTTTCTCTAGATTTCCTTACCCGCTCTCTCTCCCCCCCCCCCCCCCCCCCATTTTTTTTACCTGGTTCATCTACATATTTTTTTGCCCCATAACTATCTTTTCCTAGTGGTTGTGTCCACTACACTTGAAATTGTGTGTGTGTGTGGGGGGGGGGGAGTGGGTGGCTGTTTTTTTTCTTTGAGGTATCTTGTCTCCCTTCCTTCCCCCCTCTCTTAATCTGTGTTTGTCACTGCCTTCCTTACCCACCTTTCTCTCTCTCTCTTGCTTTATGTCTGTTTGCCTCCCTTCATCACTTCCTCTTTGTATACCTCCCTCCCATTCTCCTGCTCTGCCTTTTTTCTCTTTCTTTGGTTCTCTCCCTCTGTCTGCTTGCCTCTGTCTCCCTTCTTTCAACTCTTTGTCATATTTTCCTCCTTCCATATCTCTGTTTCGTTCCCTTTTTCCTTCTCTTTTCATCTGCCCATCTCTGTATCTGCATTCCCTCTTTCTGTATTTGTCTCCCTCTCTGTCTTTCGCTTTCCCTTCCCCACTTTTCCTCATCATGTCTCCATCCCTCCCTCTCATTTTTTCCTCCTTCCTCAGACTTCTTTTCCTTCTTTTCTCTACCATTATCTGTCCATCTTTACACTGTCTCTCCCAGCCTACCTCAGCATGTGTCTTCCTCTCTCTTCATGACTCTCTCTCTCTCCCCTAACCCTCTCAGGTACCAGGTCCAGAACAGACAGGACTTCAGTTTGCTGCCCTCTACCACCAAGCCCTAAAAAAAAATTTCAAACACTATATCAAGCTCAGGGGCCGACCAACACGAAGATGGGCACAGGATATGAGTGACTCCTTGAGTATAAAAAAGTACATGAGGCGGGAGAGCTGGTGAGAGACCGAGGTTTTTTTTGTCAGGACAAAGGAAATGCTACATGATGATGATATCTGTGCTGGTATACCAACACATGTGGCACAAATGAAGTACCTTGTGTGCTCAGTACACCCTTGAACAAGGCAAAAATCTTGTATTAGTATTACACCGAGACAACCTTGAAAAAAACTAAGGAGACCTTGAAAAAGACCTTGAAAAGCCTTGAAATTGATTGGTAAATTTGGCTATGAACCCTGGGGGGGGGGAATAACATGTGTCAACTGGAAATAGCAATGGTGGAAAACAATGAGACAAGATTCTTGACACCCTTTTGTCAATGTACATGATTTTGTGGGGAAGTATAGTGGCCCATGCCAATTGGCAAGCTACTTGATCATAATGATGATGCATTTGTATTGATATGAACACGCTGACTACATATCAGGTTTTGATAATATTTGTAATTTCTTCTTATTCTTTCCTCTGTTGTTCCCGTTTTTGATGGATGCTTCAAGCATTTGCAGTCTCAGATTATTCCATTATTTGAACGATGACCTTTTGCTTTATGTATTTTGTGTGTCAGGGAATTGAAATTATCATTTGCCGCGTTCATCATTGTCTTTCGTCTGTGAAAATATGAGCTATAGTTTTTGATTACCTTTTATCAGGCATAATTGGTTTCTGAAGTTCTCCAACATTGGTCGCCAGATTTCCTTTTTTTATAGTCCAAACAGTGGGGTACTGAGTATCATGTTTGTCCACATCCTTTTGTCTTGTGTGCTGTCAATCATTTCTGACATTCTAGCACAAATGTGTTTCAATGGTATGAGGCCACACTTTCTAACAGCCTCTCTCTGTTGGTGTCCCCCTGTTTGTCTTCTGCAGCTTTCTGTTAAAATGATGTATCCCAGTTTTACCTCAAGATTTGCCAAAGAATGTGATACCAGTAATGAGTTCTTGTTCTCAGTTAATTGTTTTCAAGAGATGTTTTCATTCAGGTGAAATCCAGAAAGGCCTGTCTGTGTTTGTTTCCTGGCACACTTGCAGCAGGATTTTATTCTTAATGGCAAACTGTTACATAATAATCTGTGAACAAGTTAGTGGATTTTCCCTGAGAGATCATTGGAAATTGGGTTTCCAGGTACAGACTTTTCAAGATATGAACCAGTCAGGGACAAATAAAGTTTGTAAGTTAAGTTATGTAATAGCAGTGATACTGACATTTTATATACTGCCAATTTTGTTTGTTTAGTTCTTACAGTTGAATTTTATTTATGTCGGTAATGTATTTGATTACCAGCTGTTCTGAGAATATGTCATTTTGTTGTTGTCACATCACAGAGAGCAAAGCTTATTTTATTGGAGGAATGATGTCCGACACAAGTCCCAGTGACATGTTTGTGGAACTTGATGAGTCCAACAAGTGGCAAAAACTGGTGCCTCTACCCACCCCACGATATGCAACATTTGCCTTTCTTATCAGAGACAAACTCTATGTCCTAGGTAGGTAGGACTGGATACAGGTTGGATTATCTCTCTCTAGGTCCGTAGGTTAAGACTATATTAAAAAAAAAAAATTTTAAGTACATGTAGTTAGACTGAATAATATTTCTTAGAAACACTATGTGTCATAGCTACATGAGATTAGATAATAGTTAATTAATTAATTGTTGCATTAAGCAGCTGACAAAACCAGTTCCATGTTGGTTTATTATTTTTCTTTGACTTCCTGCCTAGTTCTCTTGTTTAGCCACATCTCGTTCAACTTGCAGTCTGACCATGGTTGCAGATTCACTTCGTTCTGCAAACTTCTTACTTCTTGTAGAGCATTCACCATATCAGCTTGGTCAGTGGCTCATTTCCCATGTCCCACCCCACTTCCTGTACACACACATTCACACTAGCTTTATCTGCGAGCCTTTCTCAGCTTGCTCATTTCCTTGTACACTTTATGACTTAGCAAAATGGGATTTTCTTCTTCATGGTTTCTCACTGTGTGTCCCATCCAACACCAGTGACTATTCCTCACCTCCTGGTTCACTGGGATTTATTTAGTTGTGTCCCAAAGCACCTCTTAGGTGGTTTTATCACATCATTTGATTCCCTTTGTTTTTTCACTGTGCGGGTTCCTGAACTCATTTTGGAGGAGGGTTGGGTTGTACACTGTGCTCCTTAACTCTTTAAGGCCTGAGCAATGCTGTGAGTGTTGACTGAGAAGTTCTGATTTGCCTAAACAACACTGTCAGTGTCGATTATTTGTCCTGTAAATATTGTTTGGCATTTGGCGCCGTATTCGTTTCTATTGTTCGGAACTACTTTTAAAGTATTCAGTGAAGGTTACTCTAATGCCTTCCTTTGAATAAAATTCCAGGTTCCAAGACATGTGGGCACAGATTGTTCTGATTCATAGCTAGTATTATTTTCAGCAGTGCATTTTCTAAATTCGTCTTCAAGTGCCATGGATATCAATGTGCCAACCACAAGTACAGGTTGCAAAATGCATCTTTCTGCGGCCGAAACTGTGAAATTGCTTCAGTCAGATGTTTTGAATTCTGATAATGAAAATTTAGATTTTTCAGAAAGTGTTTCGGACGATGAATTTATGCCAGCGACAGCTGAGCGGTCAGCTGTTAGGGAATCTAGCAATCCTGATGAGTCTGACACAGACAATGTTCCATTGCGACCGTATTTAGGGTTTAAGAGAAGAAAGTGCTGCAAACAAATAAATACTACCATACTATGGCCAAGATACATTTAAATCATTGCAGCTACAGTCAAAATTTTAAATTAAAAAAAAATATATAAATATCCAGAAACCATAAGTTCTTAACACTTTGGCTCAGTACTATGGACATCACAACCCTTCGGCCTTGATTCCATGAATCTGGGAGAAATGTGGCTTTTCTGCCTACCCCTGGGCATGAGCCTGGACCACCAGGAGTTTGTCATGTGGTTGCAGCGAATAAAGGTTTAGCCAACTACGCTAGCGAGCCGGGCACAGTCTGTATATAACTATACAAAGCAAATTTTGCGTTTGTAATGGTCCATTTTTTTATCATTTTTTTCTTTGAAATTTTGTTTGGCACTCTGCTGGAACTTAGAGCCCGTGAGTGCTAAACAAACTCAAAAACATATCATTACTTTAGAATTTGTTAGGAAATTGAACAAACTTTAAGTGTTATTCTCAAATTTGAAATTTCCCTGCTCTTGTGGCTGCAAAGCCATGGTAAGTGAAGAATGTTTTGGTAAAATTTTGTTTTTGTGAAATTAACACCTGCTGAGTTCTTTTTTCCTACTAACTATAACAGTATTAAACATATACTTATCTTGAGATTCAAAATGTACATTAATTTCTCTATAAAAAAAAATATGTAAGTTTTTAGGGATTAGAAGTATATTACATTCTCTATTGCCTTTTTTTTTTTTTTTTTTGTACACCACCCCTGTGCCATTTTTGTAAAGGGAAATTAATGTGGGCTAAGTCTCAAAATTCATGTTCCTGAAAGAGTTAATAAACTTATTATAAAGGGCGACCAATTAAAGATTTCCTGAAATTAGATGTCTTGAGCCGGAAAGCGCAGACATCACATCCTAGCTATATACCACAATGAATGAGGGAAGATTCCTTCTATTCTGTGCAAGCACCAGTTAATGAACAAGTGTAGTTTGTTAGTGAGATTAAACAGGCTATCGCTGCTAGGTAAGTGGGATTGGAGAAGGGTTTAATGTCTAGTTATGATTTAGGTCATAAAGCAGAATTAATATTCGATAAATCTGCTACCATTTTTTACAATGCTAACATTAAAAACATTCTGTTTTTACATCTAGCAGGCATGGTTACATTTTGACTTTGTGTTCATCTAAGTTTATGTTTTACAGGTGGTAGGCAAGGTAAAATTCCGACTGCCGCCTTGGAAGTGTTTGACTTCTCCACAAAGAAGTGGAGCAAGCTGCCAGACATTCCCAGCAAGCGGGTGTTTGCCATGTATGCCGCCAGTGACAGCCACATCTACAGTGTCGGGGGCCTGCTGCAGCCAGCCAGTCAGGGCTTTTCTGATGCCTGTGAGGTGTTTGATCTACAGACAGGTGAGTTGTGTGCTCTTTCTTCTGATAGTCTGTGTGAAGTGTTTGTTGTCTTGTCTGTACACAATTTTCTGTCTTGTCTACTGTCAGTTGTTTTGATAGAGGCAGAGGACAAGACCACCGGGTTGGCAGGCAAAGGAGTTAACTAGTGCAGCTCCTGATTCTCATTGTGTTCTAGAATCAAGCTTCCAGTGTGGTTCCTTGCAGCCAGAATTAATGTTCAGTTTTATTGGTAGGCCTGTAGGATGAACTGTGGAGTTTGGAGGCCTGTCTTGCGTGTGCTTTTGAAACATTCTGGCATATAAATTGAGTAGATACTTCTTAGCGTTCACCAGCTGTAAATACCTGTGGACATTATTGGTTGTTCGCCCAATTATGGAGTTTGGTCTTATTCAAGAGCCTGAGTTGTGCATACACATCCATTTTATACATTTGGCTTCTTTGTGTGCAGACCATTGTTTCCTTGTCTTTCAGTCAGATGCAGTTCAACTTTGAAGGAAACATCTAATTAATAACACTTGTGACATGCTTGTTGGGGAGGCAGTGGGTCAGTTCCTTTTTTCCTTTCCACAATGGGGTCCTGGAATCCACATCTGGAGTATTTTACTTTTAAAACAACTAAATATATGGTAGGACTACTTAGATTTTAAATAAACAAATTAATCAGATTTTCAAATCATGCTCTGACTAAATATAACCATAGAGCACATGCAATGGTTTGGATCCAGAGGGGAAAGTTAAAAGGGCTGTCATAAATCACACGTTGCTTGGTAATGAAAGAATGAAACATCAGTGCATTGGTTGTAAGAATTAAAACTAATCTTTTAGGGGATTCATCAGAAAATCTGCATAATCTTTTCTCTTGTCTTTTTGCTGTTGAAGTTGTTCTTTTTGTTTTCAGAGCAGTGGACAGTTTGTCCACCTATGCCGACCAAGAGAGGAGACTTTGCTGTTGGTGTTGTCGGTGGCAAGTTAGTATGTGCTGGTGGCTTAGGTAAGAAGACATAACATGCCTGTCTATAATTATTTCACTCTGGCAACTAAGGTTCACTAAATATGATAGACGAGGGGAATACAACATGAACATGGAAATGCCAAGAAACTGAGGGAGGCCTTAAAAAAATATGGATTGAGGGAGTCACTATTAGCCCCAACTTCACAGCAGACCAAGAGGGAGTCACTGACAGCCTGAGACTTCACAGCAGACAAAGAGGGAGTCACTGACAGCCTGAGACTTCACAACAGACCAAGAGGGAGTCACTGACAGCCTGAGACTTTACAGCAGACCAAGAGGGAGTCACTAACAGCCTGAGACATTACAGCAGACCAAGAGGAAGTCACTGACAGCCTGAGACATTACAGCAGACCAAGAGGAAGTCACTGACAGCCTGAGACATTACAGCAGACCAAGAGGGAGTCACTGACAGCCTGAGACTTCACAGCAGACTAAGAGGGAGTCACTGACAGCCGCAGACTAAGAGGAAGTCACTGACAACCTGAGACTTCACAGCAGACCAAGAGGGAGTCACTGACATCCTGAGACTTCACAGCAGACCAAGAGGGAGTCACTGACAGCCGCAGACTAAGAGGAAGTCACTGACAACCTGAGACTTCACAGCAGACCAAGAGGGAGTCACTGACATCCTGAGACTTCACAGCAGACCAAGAGGGAGTCACTGACATCCTGAGACTTCACAGCAGACCAAGAGGGAGTCACTGACATCCTGAGACTTCACAGCAGACCAAGAGGGAGTCACTGACAACCTGAGACTTCACAACATCACAGCATATTTTAAAATAGTGTTCTTTTTTATCCTTATAAAATAAAGTACATCATTTAAGGGTCAAACAGATGTTAGTGTTATGCATGGCTAGGTGTACCCATGTGAGTGTGAATCATACACAGTAAATAAACTAAGAAAAGCTTTTATTCCTTTGCTTAAATGCATTATTCCTGTTCATTTCAGGTTTTTTTTTAATTGTTAGTGTCATAATCTTTATTAATATTCTTTAGGATGTCTTTTGTGTTTCATAATTCCCGCATTTTTGACTGACCTCCCTCGTCTTATGTGCATCTGGCACACTCTTCAAACCTTTTTTGTATCTATCTGATCTGCGTCTTATTAGGTTATAACACTTAGCATCACTGCACATTGGGCATTCCCATGTATGATGAGAACTCCGATGCAGCAGCCACTGGAAGGTACCTTCACTGATTGTTCCATTAGAAGTTGGTTTTAGTGTCATCTATCTCTCCTTTGAAGGTGACATAGATGTGCTTTACTCCCAGGTCACCTAATCATATTGGTGTAAGAGATTTGACTACAATTAGGTATTTTGATGAAACTGTGTCTTTACCACTTTCTGTGGTGATGCAGACATATAATCAGACTGCTTCTGGCACCATTGGTATTCGAATTCTGCTTTGGCTACTGAAGATTGGGATAGAGCAGTTATAGAAATAATCTAAGTGCCATGATATCGATTCTTGAATCAACTCTTATGGTGATGCAGGACAGGGAGTTCTTGAGTCTGAGACTAGGGCGTTGTGTAGTTGCCACAGACTGTTCAGGCATAGAATTGTATTTTTGCTTTTGCTTCTTCTTCTCTTCCACCTTGTACCTCAGTGAAGTGTCGTTGATGAGCTCTGTCAAGAGCACTATTAAGATTGATGTTTATTTCTGTAAGGTTGTTCCTAATTAATGCCATCACTCCATCTTTCCTAGGTCTTCCATTCGCTCTATACCCGTTGTAACATTTCAGTGTGGCTCGCTGTGGCAGATAGTACAGGGCATTCTTGTTAGGTGTCTAAACCACTTCATTTGTTGTTTTTTGGTGACCTGTAAGACTGGCTTTATTCCTAGCACTAGTCTGATTCTTGATTTCTTATATCTTTCTTTTTTTTGCTTCGGGGGGGGGGGGGGGGGGGGGGGGGGGGGATTCGTCACCTTAAATAACATTCGAACATGGGTGTCAAATGAGAGATTGTTTGATTAAACTACTGCTGCTTATATTATTTATAGCCCTGCTGGTTTAGCTTTTCACATATTTTCTTTTTTTTTGTGTGTGGGGGGGATCTGCGTAAGGGTAATATTTCTACTCCATGTCATTACCTGATAGGCCTCATAAATTTATGTTCAGTGAATTAATTTTCAGAATATTGAACATGTGCTACAGACATGCCCTGTGTACACAGTATTGAGATCCCAGACCTGTCCTGTGTACACAGTAGTGAGATCTCAGACATGCCCAGTGTACACAGTATTGAGATCCCAGACCTGCCCTGTGTACACAGTAGTGAGATCTCAGACATGCCCAGTGTACACAGTATTGAGATCCCAGACCTGTCCTGTGTACACAGTAGTGAGATCCCAGTCATGCCCAGTGTACACAGTATTGAGATCCCAGACCTGTCCTGTGTACACAGTAGTGAGATCCCAGTCATGCCCAGTTAGCATTCTAGTGACAGTGAAGCTGTGTGGATCAGTGGTGTACATGTGGGAGAATGAAAAGATGTTGGCATCTTTGTTGTGCATAAAGGATGATGACAATGATTAGTTTTTCTGTACGAAACCACTAGCCATACATATTTTAGCTGTTTTTATAAACGCAGTGTTTTTACAAAGTAAATCTTTTTGTTTTCACAGGCAACGATGGCAAACCACTTAAAACAACAGAGGTATTTGATGTAGCTTCCAAGACTTGGACAGCCATAGCAGACATGCCATCTAGTCACTGCTCCTGCGCATACACATTGGCCAATCAGCAACTGTTCGTGTGTGGGGGCTTGTCTTGTCGGGGCCCCAGTAACAGTCTAGAAGTATTAAGCTACTCATAACTTATCTGCTTGTCATGTCTTTTTACTATTCATTTTACCTTTTGGTAAAAAAAATGAACAAAGAAAAAACACAAAAATGAAGTGCCAAATGATGGGGGAACATTTTAAACTGCTGGTTCTACTTTACGTATTGAAGCTGGGGATTAGTGTATGAAAAATTGTAATTATAAACATAAATAGTGACTCTGAAACATTACTTCTGCTGTTTAACGATGATTGCAAATATATATTTTTTGTCTTTTCTGCCTTTTAAAGATCTGCTTTCCGAACCCAGAAATGCTCTGTTTAGTGGTTTAGGCATAATACAGAGCATAAGTTAATTGCATTTCCTTTACGAACCAAATCAACATTTATTAGTTGCTGTTTCAGGCTTAGAATGGGACAGTGCATCTACATAGAAATGGTCTTGCTAATTTTGCTGCATGTTGTTGTGGCTCGCAAAACAAACTCCAAAGTAAGTCTTACAGGAATGTCCAGACTTAGACAGAGAGAAGAATCTGACTCATGGGAGCATCCCTACCAGATAAACTATGGGGCACCGGTGAATCCCTGATGTGCACCGTCTTGTTTATAGCCCATATTGGAATGGACACATAGCAAACATTGATCACTAAAGAGGAATTTGTTGTGTTGGTTTTACTTTCAGTAGTTCACCATTGTTTCCTCAAACATATGACACTTATAGAGTTGTCAAAATTTGTGTAAAGGGATCTGTTAAACCACAGCCAAAATTAGCTGAATAATGCATGATTGTTTGGCACTGAGAACATTCAAAATATTCAAACATAACCCATTCATAAATGGACTAGGAGTGCCTTGATGAAATCATCAGGGCTCAGTGTATCCTAGTAGTATTTCATTTAAGTGTTAACACACAATATGGACTTTAGACTTTATTTCAGCAATATTCTGGTGAGGTTGTCCTCCCTCCATGTCCATTGTAACATTTGTCATTGAGACTTTATTCCAGCAATATTCTGATTAGGTTGTCCTGATTGTCCGTTGTAAGAATTATCAATTTTATGCAAGGACTCTGTCCCCACACTCTTAGGCTTGTTGGGTGATTAGTGTATCTAGGCCTGTGTTTTATAAACTAATCAGCACTTGGACATGATGTGGTGACCGTCTTGCTGGCCACCTTTACTTCCCAAACTGCATGGTTCTGAGGTCCATGAGCCCAGTCGGAAAGCCACCCGACGTGAATACAGGACAGCTGCAACTCAATTCACCAGCCATGGACTGACCTCCTTCTCGTTCAGTGCAGTCATCAAAATGCTGTATCTTACTGTAATAAGCATCCTCGAGATCCAGTTCTACCGCCATAGTTTCCTGTCTGTTCTGTATTTATAAGTAGGAAAAAAAGAAAGAACTTTTTTTAAAACACACATTTGTACATCAGGCACATAAAACCAAAACCTCTATTTTTGTATACCAGTAAGCTTTAGTTGATGGTGTCAAAACCTGGCTGGCCGCCTTTACTACCCAGGACATATCCTTGTGTCCTGTTTAGTTTGGGCCTACCTGGAAACCCTAGAATTTGTATGTGTATTAATTTAGTATTATCTGTAATGAGTTTTATTGATACTGACACTTAAATGCTCGCCAGTTTAGGTGATTTATTAATAGTGTGACTTATTTTATCTTTAAAAGTGATTTGTCTTTTTTAAGCACATTAATTTATTTATCTTTAAGAAGAATTGCTTAACTCTGCACAATGTATTTTAATTTAATAGTTATAATGTTTTGATAATTTTTATCATGGTGTAATTATATGTGTTACTAAAAAAAATTATTTCTTAACTTTTAAGTTTTAGATGTTTTTAGTGAATGCGCAAACAGTTTGTTGCAAAGTTTTTACCTGGCAAATTCATAACTGTCTCTTCAGATGCATAACTACCGACTTTTCTCTTTGTGGGTTTCAAGGCCTGATTTTGTTGGTGGGGGAGACTCACTGCTTCTCCAACAAGCATGTTGTAAAAGTTGACTAATTAAGGGTATTTCCCTTAAAGTCGAAGTGCATCTACCTGAGAGGTGAGGATTCAACAGTCTGCCTTCCAGTATGCCAGATATATAAAACTAAATATACATGCAAAACTCAAGTTCTGGAACAAGACCAGTGGCCAGAAGTGAATGAACCAGAACTGTCTGCCAGAGTTTACAGCTGGTAAATGCTAAGGAGGAGGAGGAGGTTACAGAGTTGACATCAGCTTCATAAGGAAGCACAAAACATGAATACCTTCAACTGAAACACATAAATCACATTGTCTCTTGACACAGTCTTTGTCTCCAAGGAAATCTAAGGTTAATTACAGAACCACTCCTTGTAATTGTGGAATTCAGTGGTGGCTTGTATTCACCACATGCTATCTGTATAAATTTAATATTACAGTTTGTATAGAAATGTTTCTTCTGCTGAAGTGTGGATACATTTATTAGGTGGACTGGATATGTATAAAATATCTCTGTTATTTTTAGTCACCAAAAAATATATAAAATTAGTCTATATTTCTGCTAATCACCTATTATCTTCATCAGTCACAAATAACTAAATAACACTGCATGTCTAGTGACCCGTGACCTTATGCCTCGAACTTGGGACTTTTTTTCTCTCTGTGACATGTATATCTTTATGAGAAAACAGGCAAGAGTTTCCACGGAGTATTCATATACCTGACTGTTTCAAGAGAAAAAGGCAAGGGTTTCCTCTTATTATTCATATACCTGACTGTTTCAAGAGAAAACAGGCAAGGGTTTCCTCTGAGTATTCATATACCTGACTGTTTCAAGAGAAAACAGGCAAGGGTTTCCTCTTATTATTCATATACCTGACTGTTTCAAGAGAAAACAGGCAAGGGTTTCCTCTGAGTATTCATATACCTGACTGTTTCAAGAGAAAACAGGCAAGGGTTTCCTCTGAGTATTCATATACCTGACTGTTTCAAGAGAAAACAGGCAAGGGTTTCCTCTTATTATTCATATACCTGACTGTTTCAAGAGAAAACAGGCAAGGGTTTCCTCTGAGTATTCATATACCTGACTGTTTCAAGAGAAAACAGGCAAGGGTTTCCTCTGAGTATTCATATACCTGACTGTTTCAAGAGAAAACAGGCAAGGGTTTCCTCTTATTATTCATATACCTGACTGTTTCAAGAGAAAACAGGCAAGGGTTTCCTCTGAGTATTCATATACCTGACTGTTTCAAGAGAAAACAGGCAAGGGTTTCCTCTGAGTATTCATATACCTGACTGTTTCAAGAGAAAACAGGCAAGGGTTTCCTCTGAGTATTCATATACCTGACTGTTTCAAGAGAAAACAGGCAAGGGTTTCCTCTTATTATTCATATACCTGACTGTTTCAAGAGAAAACAGGCAAGGGTTTCCTCTGAGTATTCATATACCTGACTGTTTCAAGAGAAAACAGGCAAGGGTTTCCTCTTATTATTCATATACCTGACTGTTTCAAGAGAAAACAGGCAAGGGTTTCCTCTGAGTATTCCAATACCTGAGTGTTTCAATATAATGCAAAGCATTGTTTCCCTGTTGCAAATGTGAAGAAGAAGAAAGCACAAATGACCTATTGGATAATAATTGCCATATTATGTAAAGGACCATGTCACACTAGAGGTGCATCTTGCATGTGATTCTAGACTTGTCTTTTTATTATTTGTGTAATAATTGGCTGTGGATAAGTAACGTGGACAACTTCGGACTGGCAGTTGCCGTATTGAAGGATAATAATGTTAGTGTTTCCTTCTCTAGACTGCAGTTTACCTACATTGGGGTGGGGGGTTTGCCTGGTGAACATCCGTTATCTTTCAAGGTGCAACTCTTGTACTCATGTCTGACAGCCACAGAAATGACCTTGTAAATGTAATTAGCTCATGGTAAAGGTTAATTCAAATGGCAGAACTCTGCCGTTTGGAGCCAAAGGTTATAAGAAAAACTGGAAAGAATTAAGTAACCGTTAGGAAGCAATCGCTCCACGGGACAGTCCATGAAGGTGAGATATTTATTGGACAGGAGGCGTATGAAAATACCAGCCCAGCCCAGATAGTGAGCGCTTAGATTACTGAGAAATTCTCCTTAATGGTGACCACTACTAGTACACACAGACTGATGACAATGGATGCTGCAAAACATTAGCGACCCTGGACACCACAGAAAACCTGCTCGTGATCTTGTATCGGATTATAATCAGATTTTTCACACACACGTCACAGCCAGATGTAGATTGCCGGACGCGATTGTGTAGTAACAAACTGAAACAGTGTTTTTAGTTATCTAAATTTTAATAATTGATGCCATGACTGTGTACTAGTAAGAACAAACATCTGATTAGTCATCTACAGCGTCAGAAATAGGATTACAAATAAGTTATGAGAAAACAAATATATTAAAGATACCAGCAACAGGTCATGTCATGTTAGAGAACAAACCAATAAAAGCAATGGGCCATTTTGACTCAAGCAGATACAATGAAGGAAATTATGATTTGCAAAGGCAAGGCAACAAGTCTTTTGAAAGCCTTAACAAAATATGTAGCTCCAAGTTATACAGCTTAAGACCAAAATATAAGTCTCCATTTTTAATGTTATTTCTTTTCTAACATATGCCAGCGAAATTTGAAGAACAACCAAAGAAATGAATGGAAAATTACAGCGTTGCAGAGGTTTTTAACAAAAAAAAGTGTTCTTATGGTTTTAAAACGGTAGTGCGAGAGTTACACACTGTGATTGTGGTCTCACCACATAATATTTCCAGACAGCATTGTGTACGTTGTAGCCAATCATTTTTTTGAGACAGCACACATTTTTTTTTTTTAAATATTCTATACCGACATATTTTTATTTTCTGGACATCCAGTTTTTACATTGAGTTCTCTCTTTAAAGTAAGGACTGTCTGTGCGCCTTTGTTTTTAATTCATTTTTGTTTTTTCTTCTTTACTTTCTTTTATGTGCTGGTTCTTCTTCTGGCTAGCTCAACCATAGACACATCATACT